ATCAGGGGTGTGGTTGACCGGGGGGGGGGGCTGGGGGCGTGGCCAGCTCAATGTCGCTTGTGTTGGGTACACTATGCTCACTCTCCTTGGCCAGGTTGCCCACGGTGTGTATGGGAGGGCAAAGTATGTGGTTCAGAGGGAGGCCCACTCCCTCTCCATGCGAGGAGACCTGGTATTGTAAACAAAGCATCCTCAGCGATAGGGAGACCACCAGGAGAGGTCAGGAGGAGGGGACAAGGGGATGGAGAAAGGGCAGCAGGGCTGCAAGTGCTAAGGCAGGACTTCCCTCAGACCCTCACTCTCTCTCATTATAATCTCCTTCCTTCCTTCTTCATTTTCCTTTCTTTCTTCTTTCTTCCCCTTTCCTTTTTTTCCTTCCTTGCTCTCTTCCCCTCTTTCCTCTTTGTCTTTCCTCTTTCCCTTTCTCCTTTCCTGTCCCTTCTTGGATGCTCAAATGCAAAAGGGGAAACATTTCTCGATGCCTTCTTGCCTTGTGGTGAAATGCCACTTTTGCTAGTAGTTTGTGGCCTCTTAAAAGACTGAAAACAAACCAGGCTGTTTATCCTGTGCTTGCATTTAGTGGGAGTGTCCACAGACAACAGTACAGCAAAACTGTCAAAATGGTGGCTGTGATAGTTGATCAGAGCTCCTCTGTTTTTTATGTGCAACAGCTTTAGTGTTTAGGAACAGAGGTAAGTTAGTTGCTTTTCTAATACATAGTCCTCAAAAAGGGCACTCCTGTAGGGACCCTGCCATGGTCTAATTCAGACTGCAAATATAGCAAAGGAAGTTTTCCCTGCTCTGCTTTGTCCTATTTTCCCCACTGGAAATGGCTGTTTGCAACACACAAGGAGGGGATACTTTCCTAAGGGCTCACAATTCAAGAATACCAATGTTAACTTGGATTGCCAACAAAGTTTTGTCTGTGACAAAACCGAACACAAAATTGCTTTTTCCTTTGAACTGGGGCATCTCTAATCAAGTTGCCTCTCTTTCCTTTCTTCCTCTTTCCCTCCCTCCCTCCCTCATTCCCTGCCTCCCCTTCTCATTTCCTTCCTCCCTCCCTCCCCTGCTTATTTTTTTTAAGCTGCCAGAGGCTCAGGGCAGAGCTGGCAACAGGCAGGCAGCAGTGGACAGAAGCTTCCCATTTTGACCCCTCCCCCATCATTGCTTCTGCACCTGACGGGCCTCTGCATGGCTCTCAGCTCAATTCTCCCAGACCCGTGCACGTGTTTGTGTGTTTATGTGTGTGCACGCGGGGGGGGGGGGGAATCACCCCTTGCAGACCCACACCTTCACTAGGCTGCAAACTAATGAAAGCTGTTTTTTGGGTGTACTTGTTTCTTTTTCTCACCTATTAGCACTACAATGGTGTGTGCTCAAGGTACTGTGGACTGCACATCCCCCCCCAACCTGCTGCCAATTGCATCGCACCCTGCCCGCCCCCCAACTCCCACCCTCAGCTCCATAGAACGCTGCAAGCTCCCATCCCAGCTTCTCTTATCTCTCCTGTTCTTTTTCTCCCCAATGTCACAGCACAGGGCTGCAAGGGGGGAGACCACATACACACACACATACAAACACCACATGCACGGGTCTGGGAGAGGCAAGCTGAGATCTATGCAGAGGCCCATCAGGTGCAGAGGCAACAACAGAGGGGAGAGGTCAAAATGGGAAGCATCTGCCTGGTCCCATTCCATCTCATTCCCATGCTCAGGAAGGGACAAGATTGGCAGCGCGGCCACTGGCTGTGGCTTTCCCATGGTGTCTGCTAGGCCAGGCCGGCGAACGGGGCATGGCGGCACTAGTGCAGTGGCAGTGATCTACAACTTGGTGCAGCCATCTGGGCTGGAACATGGTCAGCCTTAGATACAACCCATGCGGTCTCCCTGGAGTCAGTGAGAAACTGCATCGCTGGCTCGGCCCTACCCCCTGGGCGTGCACACAGGAGGCAGCAAGCATGCACTTCCTGGGTGAAAGGGAACAGTCAGAATGCAATCAGCCTGCGGTGTAAGACAGTCCACAGGGACACCAGACCCTGTGTGTACTCGCCACCTCCTCTGTGTGCGGGCAGGGTGGGGGCGGCCCCTCGCTGGCTCTAGGGCAGCCCTGCGGATCTAAGGCTGACTGCGTTCCAGCCCGGATGGCCACCATCAAGTTATAGATAAGCACCCGGACAGCCTGGGCCAGAGCTGAGGTGCCGGGGGCTGGTCCTTCTCTTGTCTCCAAGGCAGCCCCACGAGCCTGATCTAGTCACATTGTGCTGTCCAGACAGTATATAGGTAATTGGGAATTGGGATAGTTAGTTAGGAATTGGGAGCTGTCCCCTTAAGGGAATGCCTCATGGTAAATGTAGTTAATGCATCATGGGAAATGTAGTTCATGTCATGTGATCACATCTGTAATCCTGATTGGTCACTGAATTGACCCTTGGTTGGGTTGGGGGAGTTTCCTTTACTCTTGCTTGGACCCCAGCACCGTGCTGGTGTCTCACCCTTTGCTCCATTGTTATGGGATGAAAGATCACTATAATTTTACACTATGAAGTCAGTTGTGCAAAGAATTGGACATTAGATGAATCTCGACATAACCGTGAGTTATATTTGAGGATGCCTTGTGAACCAGTAAAGAAACTTTGTATGGAAGCCTTTGTAGAGTTTAATCTGACTGTCTTTATATTCAGCCAGCGATTAAAAGACAGAACACACATTATGGGCCGGATCTGGCCCACGGGCCTTGAGTTTGACATCGCTGTCTTAGGGTCTTATCTAGTTGTTTCCTGGTGACAGCTGCCAGTCTTGAGAGATTCCTGTGTAAAGGGCAGGAACTCTACACATGGCTCTAGTTGTTCACACCTAACAGTGTGACATGAGAACTAGCAACTTGATTCTGCTCCTTTGGGAAACAAGAACACAGACACACTTTCCCCCAAGCTACTCGTTTATTAGAAAGTGTATTTTCCTCATTTTTACAGCACGTATATACACACACACACACAATTTTATGTGACAAAATTTAATATAGCCTGCTGATACTGAAATAGTGTGTTTTTTGTTGGAACAATTCTTGCAGAAGTCCAGTCTCCTCTTGTGCCCCAGTGGAATGCTAGATCTTGGGTCTTAATGTCATGGAAATGAAGCACTCAGTAATTGCAGTAATACTGTTTTACTACTTCAGTTACCTAAGCAACTAGAAACGGAGTCCCTTGGTCAGAGAAGCATTTTCTAGTCTTAATTTTTTTCTGGAGAAGTGTAAGGAAGCCTAGAGCCTGAAAGATTCAGAGAAGCAAGTAACAGTGGTTGTATTTGAAGTTTTGGAATGGAGGCCATTTTCCATGAACACTAGCTGTAGTTGGACCAGAGGTGGTATTCAGCAAGTTCTGACCAGTTTTGGAGAACTGGTAGTGGAAATTTTGAGTAGTTTGGAGAACCGGCAAATACCACCTCTGACTGCCCCTGCCCCTATCTATTCTCTGCCTCCCGAGTCCCAGCTGATCGGCTGGGTCTTCTTTTGGTGCCCTGCACAGGAAAACGGAGCAGGAAAGCAGGTTAGTGGGGTGGGGAGGGAATGGGATTTTGCAGTATCCTTCCCCTGCCATGCCCACCAAGCCACGCCCACCAAGCCACACCACGCCCACCAAGCCACGCCCACAGAACCAGTAGTAAACATTTTTGAATCCCACCACTGAGTTGGACAGTTGGGTGATAAATAGCCATGGCTTCACAGAAAGCTCACTTCGTTTTGTAGCCTTCTTTGCCTCCAGAGATGATGAAATTAAATGAAAGGTGTGGGAATGGTAACGAAATTATTCTGTCTCTCCTAAGGCAGACATTCCCTCTGTTAAAAAGGACAGCTATGAAATCAGGTAACCTACCACTCTGGAAAGATTCTAAATAAAAACAAGCCAGTCAGAATCTTTCCAAAGCATATACAGTAAAGGCACATGTTTAAACAACAGCTTTAACATAAACACAACTCTGTGTGCATACACACAAACAGACACCTCTATATAGAAACTATGTTGCTGCAAAGACTTCAGCCCCAAGAAAAAATATTAGACTTTGAGAGTTTTCTGTGGGACAGACCTTTTCTTCTGACTGGAATGTCATTTGGACTTTGCTCTGCCCATCCAATGGGCTGCTTCTCTCCAATAAGCAGCCTGGCTCCTGACAAGAGGATGCAGTTAAAACCAAAGTAACTCTGGCTTTTTTTTTCACAGATGTTCCAAGATATAGCAATAACACTTAGGACTTATATACTGCCCCATAGTGCTTTACAGCACTCTCTGGGCGCTTTACAATGTCAGCATATTGCCCCTAACACTCTGGGTCCTCATTTTACTGACCTCAAAAGGATGGAAGGCTGAGTCAACCTTGAGCAGGTCAAGATCGAACTCCTGGCTGTGGGCAGAGTCAGCCTGCAATACTGCATTCTAACCACTATGCCACCAACTGCTGGAATTCATTACCTATGGTACAAAAAGGTGTGTATCACTGCTCATTACTTTATTCCAAACCTTGTCTTATTTTCACCAGTAAAATGAAGCACCTATCTTTTTTCCCACTGCATGGTACCCAAGAAAACAAAACTGAGCTTGAATAGACATGCTTGAAGTTTTCTTGTGCCTTTGTCACAATGAGAAGCTCTGAACGTTTGATGCAAGCTTTATTTCCAACTACATCAACCTGAACAAATACCACTCAAAGAACGAGCTATAAAAATGCCATTGCAGTACACTATCATGATGGAACATTTGTCAGAAGCAATACAAAAAACAGTATTGCCATGTAGAATTCAATGCAATTTTTTTAAAAAAACTGTTCTCTTCTGAAAAAAAAACATACTTTAATAAGGAACCATCAAATATTACAGAGGACAGAGTACAAGTTATGTTCTGGATGTTCCCAGGATTCTAGTACAACATATTGCTTCAAAGACTGATAAAGGAATTACTTTCTATTTTCTCCCCTTGTGGCAGCAGCATAGGGAGGATAGGTGTAGAGGAGCCTGAAAATACTGACAGGCAGAACTCCAGCAACATTTCCCCCCTTTCCACAGATATGTTACATTCACTTCCCCTTTCCATGCCCAGTTCTCCCATTTCACTATGCTCAGGTGGTGTCAGTCATGGCCTTCAGGCAGCCTGTACAAAACACCAATGCACACAGAGATATATACTCCTGTCTTCTCCCCCAAAGAGGCCATATCTTTTTCACTTCTTCATGTGCCGTGACTGGGTGGGTGCTGCAAATCCTGCCCTGAGAAAATGGGGTGCAGAAGGGGATGGAGGTGTAATGCTGTAGCAGCAGTGGTTGTTGGTCGAGGGGCTAAGAGAGTTGGGTAGAGGGCAGCATGGGGGACAGGATGAAAAGTGAAAGGACCCGGGTGGATGGCCGAAGCGGGGATGATATGGATTGGGTGGCTGGCCAGGAATGTAGCAGGGTGCCCAGGGATGATTGAGTGAGTTAAGTGGGACAATGAGATTGGGGTGAAATGGGGTTGAGGAATGTGATGCACTTGAGCAAAAGGCTGGGGATGTGGGTGAGGGTGGATTCCAATGGCTGCAGCTGCTGCTGCAGCATGATGCTGCAGGATGGCGTGCTGCACAGTTGTAATGGAGGTGGCTGCAGCTGCTGCAGGCTGTTGGATGTGGATGGGCTGCAAGGCAGAGGCTGTGGTAGGAGCTAAGGCAGCTGAGGCTGGAAAGGCCTTGACCTGCTTGGCAAGGAGCTGTTGCTGAATATGTTGCTGAGCTGCTTGCTGCAGCTTGCTATATTTCTCCATCTCTTCCGGGGTGAAGGTGATGGGCTGGCTCTCCAGAGGTGCCAGGGAAGACTCCTCAGTGCCCTCAGGCTCCCTACTGATGCTGGGCTCCCCACTCTGTGCTACATAGCTAGGGAAATGCTCTACATCTGGGACTAAAGGTACTATTCTTCCTTCTATAGAGACAGGTTGGTTCCCTCTGTCAAGAGGCTCTAAAGCTTCATTTTCATTGGGATCAGGGAGGAAGTTGTGTGGCACAACCAGGTCACCAGATTCATACTGCTCTGGGAGTACTGGGGGTTCAAGAGGAACAGGAGCTAGCTTTGTGGCTACTTCTTCTGAGTTCTGATCACCTGAATCCTTGTCCTGTATTCCAGTCACCATGGTTTCCTCCACTTGAGGATGGCTTGCTGAAACAGTGTCATGAGTTGCTTCATCCAGCTCTGATAGTTCCAATTCTTCTCTTTCTAAACCAGATTCCTCATACTGCTTGGTACTTGGTTTTCTAACTGCAGGAAGTTTTCCAATTAATGGAAGAACAGCCTTATTGTCTAACAAGGGAGGAAGTTTTGGGCCAAAGTAGCCCTGTGGTGGATCTTTCAGCTTAATTCCATCCTTGTGAGATCCTGCAATGGAATCATCATTGCTACTAGATTTCTTCTCTATTTTTCTACACTGATTTTTTTCCAGAAGGAGTTTTGCTGTGGCAGATTTTTTCTCCTCAGAGTTATAGCTGTCCCCAAAGTTAAAGTTGCTGGTATTTTGAGAGAGACTGGAGGCTCTTGTAGCTTCATCTCCTCTGGCTTCTTCCTTTCTTGCAGACCCTTCACCTTGTCTGGCTTTGAAATAATGAGGAGTCTGTGAGCGGTAGATCTTAGACCGGATGAAATCACGTTGGCCAGATCTTCTCTCCCTAGGGCTTTCATGACCATAGGATCCCTTCCATGAGAGAGATCTTCTTGTATTCCGACTGCATTCTTGTCTGTAGCTTCTACTCTGTTTCCAGCTATGTCCCATTTGGCTCCTGCTCTGCCACTTACTTCGACCATAACTACAGCTACTGCTGTGCATCCTTCCTCGACTTCTAGTCCTTGACCTCTCTCTGGTGTGAGTTTGACTGTTGCTTCTGCTCCAGGACCTGCTTCTGCTCAGACTGTAGTCATCTTCTGATGAGGAGTACTTGTATCTCTTTGACCTGTGCTTGGAACTGGAATAATCTGAATAATCCTCCGAGTCATGGGAGTGCTTAGTACGACTTCGTGACCGGTCACTGTAATCACTATAGCTGTCTTCTGAGTAGCTACATTGCCGGCTGTACTGACTATTGTCAGAGGAAGCATATGAAGTTGATGAATAGGATCTCTGAGGTGATCTTCTTGAGGAGTGTCTATGTCTTGCCTGGGAGTGGCTTTGTGAACAGTCACTAGCAGAGTAATAATCATCTCTATATTGTGATGCTGACTTCTGCCTGAAGTGCTTATTGTAGGAGTCTCTGTCACTCTCATAGCTACCACTGCTTTGTTGGCCTCCATGACTGGGGTGAACTGACGTGGAGGTGGAAGGTCGCCTTTTGCTTGCAGACAAAGTGTCCTGCAAGTCCCCTTTGGTTTTCTTGTTGCCATGGTCTTGGAAAGAGATACCACTGTCCTCTTTCTTACTGCTTTCTTCAGCAGAAAGAGACTTCCTCTGAGAGTCTTGCACACTCCACTTTCTTTGTTTAGAATAGCCAGTAACTTCAGTCCTTTGCATCCATTCAGCCTCAGTTGGAAAAGATTTGGGTTTTTTGTGCCTGTGTTTCTTCTGCTTCTTGCATTTATCTTCTGCTAAGTCCCCTTTTCTGCTTTTCTCCTCTGCCTCAGATTTGCACCTGTGTTTACGTTTGGTGGATTTTTTGTGCTTCTTTTTGTGTTTGTGAGACTTCCCCATTTTGTCCTTTTGACTAGTAAGATTGCCTCTGCTGCTGTCCTCCACATTTTCACTTTTGCCAATTCTTACAGTACTGACTTCCTGCTTGCCACAGTACTTGCTTTCTGGCACTGCAGTTGAACCACTAGCTAGAAGATCCATATCTTTGTTCTTGCTTGCTTCACTATCTTCAGCAGCCTGCATTTTCTCCTTCGAAAGGTTTATTGTACCTTTCTGTTTTTCTGTTCCTTTCATTTTAGTGTCTGTGTTACGAGACAGCTTAAACTCAAAATATAAGGGATTGCAGCTATATGACACAGAGGGTTCTGCTCTGGTGAAGATTAGCAGTTCTGAAGGCCACTGGAGGGTGGTGCTCTCATCCTTACTCAGAACAGGGAAGAACTGCCCTGTTAAATGTTTAGGCCCTTCTGTGGTTTCTTTACTAGTTCCTGCGGCCTGGGAAATCTCATTGATGACATCTGATTCTACAAAAACATTTCCCTTAAGTTGTTTTCCTTCTTGCTTGCCTATTTCCTCCAAAATATCCATTTTGGTGCTTTGGTTGGCAGCATTCTGCTCCTTCCGAAGGATCACACATTCTGTTACTGTCTCCTCATCACTTTTTGCCACATTGAGTTTGGGGGAATTGCTTTGTTTCCTTTCATGAGCTATTTTTTTGCTTGCAGCTTTTGCTTCTACTTGGTCTGTTGCCTTCATAAACAGCAAAAACTGGAAGTTGGGCTTCATCTTACAATGTGCAGGGCGAATATAATGATAATATTCTGGTTCTACTGCCACTGGCCCATCATCCCTTTTTGTCTTCTTTAGCTTTGATAAGGTGGCATCTTTGTCACGTGATTGCTCATCATCATCTCCCTTGTTGTCAGGGCTATTTTTCCCCTCAATTTCCCCAATTTTTCCCAAAGTTCCATAATATGTATGGATTCTTTCATCAGTTTTGATTTCATCATCAGGAGAACAGGATTCATCCACATGGTCTTTGAATACTGAGGCAAGTGATTCTAGCTTTACAGGGCTCTTTTTGGCAAATGAGAAACACAAACCTGTCTTGTTAATTCCTAGACTGACAGCTTGTGATATCTGGACAGGAACCTGAGCAAGTCCAGGACTGCTACTGATTTGTCCACTGCCATGAATTATACCCTTATCCATAGTAATGTTGGTAGCTTGACCATAAGCTGCTGAAGAGGAGGAGCAACTACCAGGAAATGTCGAATCCACATCATCCTCTCCTCCTCCTTCATCTACTGCTACAGTAGTGGTTCTAAACATTGGCCCACTTCCTGGAGCACTGGAAGACAGAGAAGGGGGAAAAGCAGACAAAGAAAGAATAGTTAGAACATATAACCATATTAACATTTCCACCTTAATGTTACACTTAAAACCTTACTCCATGTATTGGCAAACTTTTATGCAATTGCTCTGCAGGTTATGAATATATTCAGTAACCATTGCTTTGAAATCTCTCTTTCCCTGTGGAATATGTTTAACAAGTTGCTCTTATAAGCACTAGGGAATCGTTACTGTGCTCTAAAGCAGGGGTCCCCAACCACCGGGCCGCGGACCGGTACCGGGCCCCGGAACAACTCCTACCGGGCCGCTGGCTTGCTGGGCGCCGCCATCTTTTTTTCATGAAAAAGTGCTTCCGGTGAGCTTTTCCGGGTAGAAAGCTCACCGGAAGCACGTTTTCATCAAAAAAAGATGGCGGCGCCCAGCTGATGCCGGTACCGGGCCGCGGCGCCCAGCTGATGCCGGTACCGGGCCGCGGCGTCAAAAAGGTTGGGGATCACTGCTCTAAAGCATATATTTATGAGAAAGTGAATTAACTCAGCATAAACTTTTAAACTAGATGTATACAATTCTAGCCTTTAAAATCAAAGATAAAAAAACCTCAAGAAAATGACTGGGAACAAGTACACAGTTCTGATGCATACATGGAAGTGTGTATGAATAGATGCCCCACTTGTCTCAGGCTTAGGTCCTTTTCCATATAAAATACCTGAGCTGTTGGCTTTAACAGTTCCAGTTTCTTCCTGTACTCATATCACACACAGTATTTTTAAAAAATCATCCCAGATAGGTCAGAAAGAGGAGGTGGGCATTCTTGTTTTGAGGAGATGGCAGATTAAAGTTTTGGTCTACAAAGATCTAAGCAGCAGCAGCACTTCATTCTGTCTCTAGTGTATGACTTGAAGTAACTGGATATTTAATTACAAGTCAGTCTAACTTGCATGCTGAAACAAAAGTGCCTTTGGTTTTACCAACAGACAACAATGTGCAAATTCTGTCAATTTGAAGAGCACACCAGGCTTTGCAAGGAATATTGAGGACTACAGTAAAAAACTGAAAGGGGCTAGCAGCTATGGTAGGCAACTTGAAGGTGTTTAAGGAACAAAATGGGTATCTGATGCCAAAAATTCTTTAAAAAAAAGCCCCATGGACAGACTCTAGGTTTAAATACTTTGCATCCTTGTAGTAGGTCATAATTCACCATTCAGGTTGCTTCCTTTGCTCAGCCAGCTCATGCAGACGTCGAAGGGCTTTCTCCTGCTTCCTCTCATCTTTGCGGGATCTTGAGGAAACATTGCGAGCAAATTCTCTTTGTTTCAGATCTTTTAATCTCTGTGCAAAATAAGAGAAGAAAATAATGATATAATTTATGGAGGGAAAAAACTACACTGTGCAATTATTAGGCAAGTAAGTATTTTGACCATATCATTATTTTATGCATATTTTCCACCTCCAAGCTGTATAAACTTGAATGCTTAGTGCAGGGGTGTCAGACTCACATCGTCATGGTGATGTCACATGATGTTTCGGGACTTTTTCCCCCTTCGCTAAACTGGGCGTGGGCATGGCCAGCACATGATGCATCCAGCCTGCAGGCCAGGAGTTTGACAGCCCTGGCTTAGTGGATATAAGCATATCAAGTGATGTGTATTTGTGTAATGAGGGAGGATGTGGCTTAATGAGATCAACACCCTATATCAAGGTGTGCATAATTATTAGGCAGCTTCTTTTACTCAGGCAAAATGGGACAAAAAAGAGATTTAACTGACTCTGAAAAGTCAAACATTGTAAAAAGCCTTTCAGAAGGATGCAGCACTCTTGAAATTGCTAAGATACTGGGACATGATCACAGAACCATCAAACATTTTGTTGCAAATAGTCAACAGAGTCATAAGAAATGTGTTGAGAAAAAAAGACACACATTAACTGCCAAAGATTTGAGAAGACTCAAACGTGAAGCTACCAGGAACCCATTATCCTCCATTGCTGTCATATTCCAGAACTGCAACCTACCTGGAGTGCCCAGAAGTACAAGGTGTTCAGTGCTCAGAGACATGGCCAAGATAAGGAAGGCTGAAACCCAACCACCACTGAACAAGACACATAAGTTGAAACAGCAAGACTGGGCCAAGAAATATCTGAAGACAGATTTTTCAAAGGTTTTATGGACTGATGAGATGAGAGTGACTCTTGATGGACCAGATGGATGGGCCTGTGGCTGGATCAGTAACAGGCACAGAGCTCCACTTCGATGCCAGCAAGGTGGAGGTGGGATACTGGTATGGGCTGCTATTATTAAAGATGAGTTAGTTGAACTTTTTCGGGTTGAAGATGGACTCAAAAGCAACTCCCAAACTTACTGCCAGTTTTTAGAAGACACTTTCTTCAAGCAGTGGTACAGGAAAAAGTCTGCATCTTTCAAGAAGACTGTTAGGAATATAAGTCACCTAACAGGTATTTGGGTTAGAAATATATAAACCAGGATAAGCATTTTAGTACTATATCTTTAAGGGAATGCAAGAGCATGTAATTGGGTGTGGTTTCTCAAACAGCCATAAAATGGAGCCAGAAACCTGGGTTGTTTAGTCTGAGTCTCAGAAGAGAGTCTGAGTGAGTATCACTGTTTCCTTCTGTTGGAAAGTATTGCCGTTGCTCCATTTCTTCTAATTGACTGATATTACTGGATTTAATGTAAGTCTGATACTGAACTGTTTTTGACACTGGAATTTGGTATTTGGATTATCCCTGGATTGAAAAACTGACTGAATGACAAAACTGTGAATGACTTTTGGACTGCTTATTTTGGACTTTGCTTAAACCTT